TTTTCTTAATCTTATAATTCTAATGCTCAGCCCTGTTCCGCTAAACATCCCCTATGTTGGTTTAATGATCTGCAGATAGTGTTTAAATTTCTTGAGCTTAGGTGAGATGACTCTTGATTCCTAAGAAATAGATCTGTATGTGTATATCTATATCTATATCTATATCTATATCTATATCTATATCTATATCTATATCTATATCTAATCATCTATCTATATATCTATCTATATACCTATATCTATACCTATATCTATATGTCTATATCTACATGTATATAGATATAGACATATAGATATAGATATAGATATATAGATATATATAGATATAATTCCTTTTATTTTCTGTGGCCTGAAATACACAAAGAGAATGTAATTCAGGCACCTTGTGAGGATATAAAAAAACAAACTATCAGGATCTATTATGGATGTTTGATTCCCTAAATATTCTTTGAGGGAAAAACACATGTCACATAATTAACATTTCTACGCACACTTTTTTTCTCGTAAAATATGAATTCACATTCTCAATCACCGAGTTAAACCATCCACATTCTCAGACAACTTACTGGATATAAATATGGATTAATGTAAACATATGCTTAAATATTATACCTCTAGATGCTATTTCCAACAAGGTAAACACGGCATTTTAGGACTATAGGGTCGCCGTGGCGACTCTATCAGCTTTTCTTTCTGGACCTAATTCCTTATGGGTTCTGTTCACACAGAAGCATGGCAGGAATGTCCCTTTGCTTCTTACTGAATCAGCCCCATCGCTAAGCTGATGCCATCTGGCATCCAGTTATGACTGCTGCCTTCTGCCTGCTCGCTTGCCTCCTTCCTCTTCCTTTTTGAAATGGCTCACACTAAGGTTATTTATGGCAATATGTTTAATTTATGGCAATATGCATACTGTGCCAAATGTTTCCCAACTCTGTAGTAAAGCTGCTAACAGAAAATTGAGTGAGATAACTCAAGATTTCTTAAGTGCAAGCTCAAGGCATGCAGGACCACTCAATCCTACCTTCAAGAGGATGGCACCGGTATGGCCTTCCACCTGTGTGCCAGGGTTTGCTGGAGGGATGGCTGGACAAATGGCTGTGCTGATCATATAGTGCCCAAAGGAACTACCTTTGCTTGTTCTGAGCCATCCAAGCAGAACTCCCAGCATCTGAAATAAATCTGGGAGGAACCTCACTACCTAGATGCCCACTTAGTCAGTCCTCCCTGCCTCTCCCTGGAATGCCTTCGCCGGGAGAGCAGAAAGCCTGGAGAGAGAAAGCTAAGCATCTGGAGTATCCAGGCCATACCTTTTCCTTACACCTGCCTTCTTAACACATGACACTGTCTAGGGCATTGGTGGCCTTAGTGGCCTGAGGAGTTAAGGAAATGAACAATTTCTTTTAGTTAGATTAGGCTTTTAAAAAAGGCCAGTTTATTAACTCCCTGTATAGCAATAGTAGACGAACTATGTCTTTTCATGTTCTAGAGGTCACCATAGTATGAATTTTGGCTCAAGAAATTAAGCTCTCAACCTGGACAGCATTGCTCAGTGATTACAGCATCGACCTGTACACCAGAGAGTCACAGGTTTGATTGCTGGTCAAACGCACATACCTGGGTTGCAGGTTCAATCCCTGACCTGGGTGCCTACAGGAGGCCACCAATCAATGTGTCTCTCTCACATTGCTCTCTCTCTCTCTCTCTCTCATTTCCCCGAGCCCCTCTCTTCCATTCTCTCTAGAAATCAATGGAAAAAATATCCTCACCCCTTGGATGAGGATTAAAAACAAAGAAAAAAGAAATTAAACTGTCAAAGTATTCATAACATTCACTTGGCTTGAGGTGGTTGTAATATTTACACTTACACCTCAACAAAGACTGAAAGTAAGGGGGAAAAAAAGGTTGGAGCTCAAGTCGATAATTTCTTTAGCTCTCACCTGATTCATAAATATAACTCTTCTACCACATTGTAGTTCTGATCCCTCACCAAATAAAAGTAAAATTTTGAGGGTTTAAAAACATCCCTAGAAAGCAACTCCCACATATTTGTCAGAGGAGGCCATCAACTGGGCTCAATCTGGTATTTTACACAACATGTTCTAAACCTAACAATACTGTCATCAGCTGGAGGCAAATCCAGAAGGAGTTCAAGTCATAGCAGAGGAGAAGTCCATTAGTCATATTCCACCTCCCTCTTTCTAGTGCTAGAATGGCACCCTCTTCTCTTCAGAAAAATGCAACGCTCCCAGAATCTGCTTAGTTGTAGAAATCTGTCTCTAACCATAATGCTTTCTGTGTGAATCGGGTAGCAGGGATTTCTGTGGATTCCTCAGCGGACATTCTCGGAAGCAAGGATGTCTTATTCATAAGATCGTCTATGCTTGACCGACTTTATTGGCTCACATCTCACATGTCTTAGGGTTGGACCTTGTTCACACTGTCCTGTTCAGTAGAGAGAATCAAAACTACCTTGCTTAAACATTCTTGCTGATGTTTGTCAGGCAAATCTGATAAAAAACATGTGCCTGAATCAAGAGAAACCATGGCCGCCAGTGAAAAATCAGTTAGAGGGTCTGACTCCCACAAGTGGGTTAGGAAATCAACTCTTATGTCAAAGCAATCCATTCATTACTACATTCCTACCCTGGGACCATATAAATCAAGGGCGGCATAAATAAACCAGTTTGTTGCTGAGGAAAAAGCAATCAAAGTCTAAAAGAATTTCTGAATGAGGCTGCAGCTTGATAACATGGATCTCAATATATTAAGTGCGTTGCCACAATGTGACCCAATCACAGTGCTTAGTCCAGCCTTCCCAGGAGACTGGCATATATATTTGCATCTTCTGTATAGCGTCAGTTTAGTGAACCGGCACTACCGGCACAAACCTCTGTTCTAGAAAATTTTAGTTATTCCTTGGCAGGTCATATCTTCCAGTGGTTGCTTTCCAACATGTTTTTGGCCAGAGTGCTAACCAATTTTTTTTTTTCATTTGGGGGTTACCAAAAATACCTAATATCAATAATAGTATCTCCATACACT